CAGCACACTGTGTGATACACTGCTGTTCCCCCCGCGCACCATGCAGACGGAGGCGGTGTCAGGCTGGTATTGGGGGGTTGGTTTGTGCGATTGGGCGTCAGCGTTGAGGGTACACCAGCAGTGGTAGTTTCCAAGTGTTGGGACGGTTTGTGCGTTGAGATGCTAAGAAGAATTTTGGCATAGCTGATGCAAGGGATGCAGCGGCAATGAGCGGAAAAGGTGCGTTGGAATCTGGGGTGTTGCTCCAACGTGATGACCTAACTATTGTCTATTGTTCTGAAAATTCCAGAATTTCTGAAGAAAAACAAAAGAAAGGAGCTATTCAATGTAACGTCATAGTCACATTACATTTACTAACTAGGTATCAAAAACAACGGTTAGGCTTGCTATTCAAACCCAGCTGTTGTTGCTAAACTACGCGCCACATGAACGTAACAAGGATGCCGTGCATTGTGCATTTGTGGGGCTGGGGCGCTTGGCCTGCTCGGCATCTAGCTTTGAGAGACTCACACTGTGTTGCAGTAAGCGTCGGAAGACAAGGGGGTTAGTGAGGGTGGGTGGGGGTTGGTTCGCCGTAATCCTGATCCACTGCCTTGTGTCCCCTTACAGATGGTGAAAGCAGGAGAGGGGTCGGATTCCACGAAGACTGGCCCGGATCGCTCCAAGTGGACACAGAAGAAGCGAGTGAGCTCGAAGCACTATGAAGGCATCATGAAAGAAATCAACGAGGGCAAGGGTCCCCTGGTGCACTCCGCCTCGGGCAAGAGGCGAGACGCGCCCGCCATCCGCCCTTCAAGCAATCCGGACGCTGAAGCACAGTCGGGATCGAGGGGCAAGCTGATCGACGTCGTGACGTACAATCCTCTTTTCCACATAATGCCATCCAGGCAAGGGGATGAAAACGTCCAAAGGGCGGACTACGCCTTCGGCGACCGGCCCAGTTACACAATTGCCGAAGACGGCGAGGACGACGTGGAGATGTCCCTGGGGTCCGAGCAGAGCTTCAAGTCGCTGGCTGAGTTGGCTGAGTTCAGTCCAAGGGACGGTCGCCTGTGGCCACGCGCTTGAGAGTCCGACATGATTTATTTCATTGTGACGCTCTTTGGCACGCAGTAGGTCGCCGCGGGGGCGGCGCCGCAAAATACTCGAACCGTTGCACGGCAATTTTGGACGGCAATAATCGCGCTTTTTCTCTGGGACGCGGCCCACATTGGGCCCCCAGAAGAGCAGCGGGCTCAAGGAACGGCGTCCCAGCGCCGGATGCTTTCGCTCACCGATGGGGACCTCGCTGCCGCGATTGGAGCAACTTGGCGGTGCCCACGCGCCCGGGGCTGGGTGGTGTGGCAGAATAATTTGCGCGCCATTCGCATCTGGCCTAGCAGGGCTTGTGCGAAAGCATCCACGCATGGCGGCCGGGACGACCCCCCTTGGGGAAGGCAATACGCGTTGCTGTACCATAGAGGATCGGCACGGGGAATTTATTGAAGAGCAGGTGACAAGTTGTTGCCTGCGCCGGCTTGTCAGCATTGAGCAGGCAGGCGGGGAGCCCTGCGCCTCCACATCCTGTTTCAGGATTTGGGAGGTTTGTCTTCTTTTCGCCGTGCACCGGCGGTGGCTAGGGTTGTTCGGTGGTTGGCGAGATCAAGAACATTTTGGGACATACAATTGTGCAGATGAACTGCGCCCGCCGTGGCTTTGCGGGCCAAGGGCTGCGATCTGTCACATTTGGCGAGTGTAAAGAACGCGGGGTTGCTCTCCAGCTTGTTGCGGACTGTGATCGGAAAGTTCGGTCGTCAACCGCTGGCGAATGATACCGATCCACGTCAATGAAGACCCGGTGCATTTCGCGTCAAAGAATGCCGTCAGAGGGCTGCCGTCAGTTCCTTGCTTTCCTGGGGGTAGAGGGCAAATGAGTCGCTGTGCAGTGAGGACGGACAACCAGTTCATGCTGTCAAGCGTCTGCCAAGAACCTGGCGGCACCAAATTAGCGCACTGTAATGGAAACAGTCATAGAAAGCGAAAGAAAATTCACCTCTAGAAGAAGGCGAATTGCGATGGCGAAAAAAATTACAATTGCACAGTATTAGCTTGTGTCTTGGTTTCATCCTGGTGACTTCGATGCATGGTAAATGTCACGGAAAGCTGCACAACGCAGGCAAGACGTCTGATGTGATTTTGAGAAAGCAGCCATCTTTCCTATTTATGATGGGTAGCACGAATTGATGGAAATCTGTGCTGGTCTTGGGTGGCAAATTGCCACTGGCAACTCTACTTACACTAATGACATCGGCAATGCAAAATTCAAAAGGGTATCAAAAGACTGCTTGGTCCAACCAAAATGCAGCAGAGTGCATCCAGGCCGAGGAAGGTGGTGTCACACCACCTTCCTCGGTCTGGATGCACTCTGCGGCATTTTTGTAGACACCACTGGTGTCTTGCGGACTGCGCAGATCATGCCTTTATGGTTAGGCCGCCAAGGCAGAGCCTGGTAGGGCCGTGCTGTCCCCCTCCTGTTCCACACTGCCCACGTGTTTTTTATACGTTGTTTGCCTGATTCGTGCGCGGACACTTTCGAAGTTCACTGCAGCGCCAGCAGGGCCACGCAAGTGAGTCGCCACGCATGCAGCGGGGGAGAGGAAGAAGCGGACAGGATGCTCCACAAAGCAGGCAGCGTTCGCAATGAGCGCATGGGACACACATGAAGACGGCGGCGACGTCCTGCGCCACATAATGGCTTGGCTGCTGGAGTTCACCTTTTGCTTTCTTCGCGCTGTGAAAACTACGAGGTGACATCAGCTCGCAGTTTGCCCAGCCGGATCGATTCGGGTGGTGGCTGGCCTCGTGTGGGCCAACTACCAGTCGCAGGGAGACGACATTGTAGGATGATGTTTATAGTGTAATTTAATTGTGTGGTGAAATATGAACACATAATATGAAACTAACCGGATGGGGGGTGAGTCCTGAGCTCGTCACATGTTCTCTCTGGCAGTGCGCGTAGTCGAATGCCAGGCACCACAAAGTCGTACTGTGTGAGAGACACAATGAAACACAGAGAAGCGCATGCAATGATATTTTCGAAAATGATTTCGTCAGCTTACGACAAGATTTGCTGAATACTGCTGCCATAGGACGTGGAAGCTACAAGGAACGCAGCTGTGGGGTCTCCTCCCATTCCGTCTGGGCGGCGGCAAAAGTACAACAAATGGATGCGGAGAGTGCACTGCACTCAGCAACGATGACCGTCCGTCCCTGCCTTCCTCTTCACCCAGCACCAGCGGCCGGCCAATCAGTGGGAAGGCACAGCGACGCTGCGTACGGAATGGACGGCTTTCGGCTTCGGATGCGTCCCAGACTTGACGCCGGAGACATGGAGGATTCAAAGCTTGAACGGCGTTGAGAACGGCGAGGAAGACTTTGATCACGGGGGTTTGGCTTCGTGTTGGGTGCCACAGCGCATAGACGGGTCTGGCAGGCCACATCATTCACCTGGGTGTTGTGCAGTCACGTGTGAAAGCGCCATTCCGTCCTGTGCAACGCACACAATGCAAAATGGGGCGATGCAAAATACAATGCAAAAACTTGCATTTTGCCAACTTTGAAGAGTTGGCAGTGAAGGGTTGGAAACTCCTCCAACTTTACCACCCAGTTTTACAGCAGGATCATCAATTTATGGTCCTGCTTCAGCCAGCAGTGCCGCCCTGCCAAGCAACCGCACTTGCGAAAGTAAGCCACTTGGCAGTGTGATGCAGCATACAACATGGACACATTGGTTACTGCTTGTGGTCCAGGAGATCCTCCTCGCATGTGGTGTGCCCATCGTGGCTCATGTTTCCATGGCACCGCGAGTTCCTCCTCAGGCGCAGTGTCACGCTTCGCAGCCATTTTTGACGGGCATGTGGATTCCATAGGAGCCATCGCACATAGCATCACGTGGCGCCTATGCGAGCCACGATGTACTTCAGAAGTACTGTAGTTATGTTATAACGTAACTATTGTAACAATTGCAACGTAACGCTGAGCCCTTTTTCACGGAGCTGTGAACGAAAATGTGACGGCACCGGAGGGAAATGTGGAGCAACCGATTTAGTAACGCTCCAAGAGGAGCTGGGTTCGCCGCGACCCGCGGCGCCGTTGGATGCCCGCGCTGCACCCAAATGCAGTCTGTAAATCGCTCCTGCCGTGGCTAGACCGGCACCAACCGCGACGCGAGGGTCTCTGAGCTGCTCGTGGGAGACGCGTCTGGCGGCCACGGATGCACGAGTCGCTGCGCCGGGCACGCCCAGAACGTTTCGAGGCTGACCGCTTGTTGACCCGCTGCTTGGATCGCACGGCGCACGGACGCATGTGATTTGCTGCTTGCTAGCGAGATTTGGCACGCAGTTTCTGTACCCCACCTCGGGCAAGCGGGACACGATGCGGAGCGGATAAAATAATAAGTAACGCTCCGACAAAAAAAATACAGAGCAAACTTCGTAACGGTGGAGCTATGCTTATGCGAAAGGGTTTGACATATTAGGCTAGATACTTGCTTCCAAACAAAGTAATCCTCCTTCCGGAATCAAATCTTGAGAATAAAGAGTCGGGGGAAATGACAAAAGGAGGCCCTCTGTGACAAAAGGGGGTCCTCTGCCGGGGTGCATTTGACAAAAGGGGGTCCTCTGACGCGCCCCTGTACATTAGACGCGTTGCCAGACCGGGCCAGACCGGCTCCAGACCGCCGCCCTACCAGCACCGGTCTGGCGCCAGATCAAACCACGGTCCTACTAGCGGCGATTCCTCTGGAAGGGTGCCACGGCGATCGGGGTCACTAGGGGAAATAGGGCCAAATAACACTTTCGTGAACACACATGAAACACATTTCATCATAATTTTACATGCTAAGAACACAAAAATAACACAAACCCGCAAACTTTGTACACGTTTGAACACGTGTTATTTGGCCCTTTTTTTCCTAGTGGGTGTGAAGGAGAGTCGCAGCGATCAGGACTGTGGAGGAGACCAAGCAGCGATTCGAGCTGGCGGAGCGAGCACGCGGCGATCGGAGCTGCGGGAGGGAGTTGCAGCGATCCGATCTGCGGAAGATACCAAGCGGCGATCGGGGGTGCGGGGAGAGCAAGTGGCAACCGGAGTTGCGGTGAGAGCAAGCGGCGATCCAATCACAATTGGAGATGCTGACCACAACTTTGAATGTTCTGGTGTGATTCTTGTGGTCTGAATGTTCTATTTGCCTGTGGGTTATCTGACGGCTGATGTCTACAAAACACAAACTCTGTCAGATGCGGGACATTTGCAGCACTCTGCTTTTGTAGGAGTTCTGTTGTAAAGTGAATTCATTGGCAACATCCAATTGGAAAAATGACCCTTCACCGTATACGTAGAAACCATGCCATATTGATGGTTTTCATAACTGAGTTGTGAAAACCCACAATCCAAGCAATGGCCAAGCTGCAATTTCTGGACCCGTCAGGCGGTACCAAATCCGATGTTGCCAGCAATAAAATAAGTTGCATGCACTTCACCGTGAAGTGTTCATGGCATTGCAATAGTCACCAACGACCTTGCCCATAGAACACGATCCATCAATCACAAATCTCAATCGTTATGAGACAATTTGTTGACCCCTTGACCCATGTGCTGAGCGATCAGTGTGTCTCAGTTATCACTTATGGCATGAAACTCACCAAAAAGACAAAAAGTATTGTGTTGTGATCTCAAAATAACATGCAACCATTTTTCTTCATGCATACTAATCCAATGCAAGCCAACTTTATTTCTTGAATGTATGCTCAGAATCTCATGTAAACCTCACTCCTTTGTGCCATGCAGGTGAGCATGCATGTTTTGAAATGCCCAGATGGAACTAAATGTCATGAGAAGCTAATGATTTTTAAGAAATTAAAACTTCCAGCTTGCCCGCCATCTCCTCAGATTTTGCCCAAAATTTGTTCTTTAATGACTTTAAAGCGGCAAAACAATCATGTCATTGCTTATAATGATTCGTATGCTTTTATAGAGACCAACAACATTTAATTGAAATACCAAGGGCAAGGGGGGCATTTAAATACCAGGGTGACCCCACAAACCCCCACAACACCCCCAAGAGGGAAATTGACAAAAAGGGGTCCTCTACGGGGTCGCCCTTAGTAGGACCGGATTGCCGACCAGCGCCGGTCTGGCAATGCATCTAATGTACAGGGGACAGTGCGAGGACCCCTTTGTTAAAGATATCTCACATAGGACCCTCTTAAGTTAAAACAACAGCATGACAGCGAAGCCGAATGTCAAGCAAAGTGCCATGCTCCAAAAGACCAGGCCCCAAACCCCTGGTAACCACCATTATCTCAGCTACTTGTGGCAATTCAGTCCATTAATTGGACTCCATTTCACAACCCTCTAAACTGTGGCGCCTTTTGCCCTTTCGCCTTCCTGTCAGCCGCATTGCCGAACGATTCATACGCAGCTCGACCCCGGCGGTGCTATGAGCTCAATGGTATTGGATTCACCAGCCTGGCAAGGGCATAACTTCGAAATAGAAGGCTGGGCGACGCTTCCAAACGCATTCCCAGGGGCCTCCATTGGGCGACCATCGCCAAAACACGACTTCCAGCGGCCATGTTTTCTGCGCCTTGGCAACCATAAATCGAGCATCTCATTTTGGCCACTGCCCAAGCCGGGTTGGAAAAGGGTCCCTATCATGCAGGACTGTGCTCCAGAACAGCGCAGTGCCGACGGGCAACTGCGGTCTGAGTGCGCGGATTGCATTTGTCAAATTGCCATCCAAAGCCAGTTGCCCACCCCGCACCCACCACGCAGGATTGGGCGCGGGGAGGACCCGGCGACCGTAGCGGGGCATGTTGGCCTTGCGGGCTCTGAACCGCCTGCTGGCGCAGCATATCAGGCGGCCGGTCGTTGGATGCCCATGGTGCGCCGCCTTCGATCGCGTTTGTGTTCCGCCTGCATGGTTCCGGCCTTTGGGATGCACAGGGGCGCGAGGAATGGGCCTGAGGCAGCAGGACGGCCGCGATTGAGGGAATCACGACACCTATTCGTCCGCTTTCACCGATGTTCTGTTTTGATGGGTGGTCTTCATGGCTCGTTCTGCGGTTGGGATTGGTGTGTCTCCAGGTTTGTGCGGTGGTCCCATCGTTGATTGACGAACGGAGGCGTCTGTGGCTTCGCAGGCAGCTGTCCCCCGGTTGTGCTTCCTCCCAGGCGTGTTTGAACAACGGCGCAGCCTCAGGTAAGGACTGGCGGCGGCCCCTTCCAATCGCTGTGGGGATGGACCCTTGATGTCGAGGGGCATTGGCAAGGCACATTTTGCGTTCGCGAAAGCTGCAGTCGAGCCCCGAATTTTCTCAATCTCCTGGCTGTTGCAGTCAAGGTACAACGAGAAAGTGTGCGCTTTTGCGTTTATCAGGCAATGTCGTGCGTTGTGGATATGAGCAGAAAATGTCCCAACGAAAGTGTGTTGCATCATCTACTAGACACCCAAGAACTGCAATTGTCTCAAATTTTGCGGGCAACAAACCAAAAACAGGGGTCTGGTACTGGGAAAGCATCCCGAGCGCAACTTCCTCGCGCCGTCGAGCTGCTGTTTGAGGCTTGTTGAGTTCCACTGACGGATGCAATCAAAGTGAATTTGCTTGACGACTTGCTGCCTGCGATCTGGACAACAAGATGCTCATGTGGTCGCAGCAACGTGCGGCATGGCTGTTGAGCTTGCAGGAATGTCTCTATGATCGGTATTTTGTGCCTTTCATAGGGAGCCGTGCCGTTGTTGTTGAGGCTTCCCGAGGCAGCCGTGCCAGGAGGTTGAAATGCGACAATGGGGTGGGCGAAGGATGGGAGTCTGTTGACTACCACTCTGAGAGCGGGGGAGATGCTTATGATGATGGATATGAGGAAGACCCGAATGACCCACATCGGGTAGGCACTGGTGAATGCTGAAGTGCAGACAGGGTGATCAAAAGCTGATAGTTCTTTGCTTTGGTGGAAAAGCACTCACCGGGCCCCTCCTGGATTCTCACCCAGTTTATGTCGATACAGGGTGGGATGGACAGGCTGGAGGTCAGGCCAAGTTGTTGTAATGTGCAGTGCTGATCGTCCGAGCTTAGCTGAACTGTTGCTCTTTACATCCTATGTAAAGAAGATGAATTCAAGCCTTGCACCATTGACTGATCAGTACAACAGAACAACAGTTTGTGCTTTCCATGTGCTGATTTTCAGAGCGCGATATCCTTTGACGTGTGGCAGGTACTGCATCTGCTGCACCTGTTGCTTGTGAAGTGCCAGTGTTGTTGCTTGCAGGCAGAGCTGCTGAATGCAGTGGTGAAGGTGTATTGCAAGCACACAGAGCCAAACTTTTCACTGCCTTGGCAAAAGAAGCGTCAGTTTTCATCAACGAGCAGTGGCTTCATGGTGTCAGATGGCCCAGAAAAACGGCCCTGGGTTCTCACTAATGCCCACTCTGTTGCATACCATTCACAGGTAGTCCTGAGTATCTGTGTTGCGTGGATGTGCTGGCTGTGACCTCCAATGCCATTGCATGCGATATTCGTCAAACCAACAGCGAACTGAACAGCAAAGGGAATGTTGTCAAATTGCTTTCAACCATGGTTTTGACTGGTGTGTCAAGTGGATTTGTCTGCACACCATAAGCGAATGTAAATCAACAAGTGATGCAGGCTTGAAAAAATTACTGTACTGGACACTGAGAAGAAGAGATGTATTGAATGTTGGCCATATCATTCACCAGTACACGTGAGCACCGTGCATCTGTGTGTGGATGCTGTGGCTAAGTAGCATGTGCATGGCCTCATCTCAGCATGCAATATGCTTGTTCTCTCTTGTGATGCTGTTCATACATGCATTTCCACTAATACAACAAAGTGTACTGCAGATTGCTCACTGCACCATACTTATATTTTGCGTTCCTTTCGCATTTCAAAGGTTCAAGTGAAGCGAAGGGACACAGAGAAAAAATTTATTGCCCGCGTGCTTGCAGTTGGGACAGACTGTGACGTGGCACTCTTGATGGTAGATGACAAAGAGTTTTGGAAGGGTGTGGAGCCATTGCCATTGGGAAGCCTCCCCAAGCTACAGGACTATGTCACGGTGGTTGGTTATCCAGTTGGTGGGGATTCACTGTCTGTGACTGCAGGAGTGGTGTCACGGATAGAGGTGAGTGGAGCTGATTTGACATTCCTATGTTCACCAAGCAGCGATGCGGCTGTCAAGTCACACGACCCATTTTGATCCATGTGTATTTCAAACCCGACAGTGTATGCATAACAAGCACAGGACATGTGTGAAACATAACATGTACCTCACATGGTCGTCTCACACATCAATTTGTCCCAGTCCCAGAGTGCTGTCCGCGATCCAGGTGCTGAGGGGGCTGTGGTGATCAATGTGGTGACACAAGCAGCTGATGATGGCAGATTCCATTTCTATGTAGTTGAGATCTACTTGCATTGTTCAGGTGGTTAGGTTTAAGGTAGTGTGTATGCTTTTGGGGTGTGGTTTTGGTGGCATTTCATAGCCCTGACACACGTCAATACCACGTCACTACCATCCAAATAGCAGATGAGTTTGATACTTGGGTCTTTTGCTTCCTGGCCAAAATGGTAGAAAGCGATGGAAGAAACTCATGGCGTTTGGGTGGATGATGAAGAAACGTAGAGAAGTCTTGTGCTTTGTTACTAAACTTTGGCACTAGAGTAGGGAAAGGAGGTGGCAATCCCAGAGTGCTTTGGGATGGTGGACGAGGAGCAGAGACAAATGAATTGTGCAGTCTGGGGAGGTGCTTGCTTGCTTCTGTGCGCCGATCCCTGTTGAAGGGTGGTCGCTGTGCACAATTTCGCTGGACAAACATTCTAAAACTCCTTCACGTTGGTCCATGTATGATTTATTCCTTCAGGAACATGTGCTTTAGGACTGTTGGACCACAATTCAGGCCTGCACCTAAAATTCCATCGCTGACTTGGCCAATGCTCAGCATAAGACAATGGCACAAGTTTACACCCTAACTAACATTTCAGTGGTTGCTAGATCAGTATGAATGGTGGTTCTTGCAAAAATGGTTAGCCACCCTTTGATCACCCACTGTTCTTTCCTAGTCACGAGTGTTGGTGTCGTTGATGCTATACAGGTGACCCATTTCTGCCATGGCAGCTGCGATTTGCTGGGCGTGCAGATTGATGCGGCCATAAACAGCGGAAACTCTGGCGGACCAGTATTTAGCGAAGCTGGGTATTGTGTCGGGATTGCCTTCCAGTCATATGCCGGCAGCGATGCTGAGAACATTGGGTATGTCATTCCCACTCCAGTGATAAGGCATTTTCTGCAGGACTATTCCCGGAATAAAAAGGTCACAGGTTTCCCCGCCCTGGGGATAACTTACCAGCGTCTTGACGCCAAGGATATCAGAGAGTCGTGTGGTCTGAAGGAGGGACAGAGTGGTGAGCACGATGGTGTGAGGGCTTGTACGAATTTGCTTTTGCTTTGAGAAAGCAGCTGTGAGCAAGGGGAACTTGATGATGGGGCATAGGCTTGTATTGTTGCTTGAGTGGAGGTTTTGAAGGAATTGAAGTGTCTGTTTCCATGTGACGGCCCTTTTCGTTTCCTGGTTTCAATGTTTGTTTCAGCTTTTGTGTGGTTATGACCCCAGATGTTCGTCACTGTTGTGCGTTTTTGGCCTTGACTGCTGTGGCTACTTGGTTCTCTTTGCTGTGAAGTCAGCTGGCCACCAATCACTGATGATTACTTCAAGTTGAATTATTGCGTGCTTGAATAGAACACATGGTGTCAATGGTTGCTCATGGCTGCCATCAAGGGCTGAAGGGGCATGCTATGTTCTCACTTGCATCCCAACTGGCATCTTGCGCAACGCAATTGCAATCTTCAATCACAGGAGCAATCCAGTGCTGGAAAATGCATGCACAATGAAGTGATGGTTGACCAAAATGCTATTGACCTCCAGGGGTGATGGTCAGGAGTGTGAACCCCACTTCGAATTCTTTTGGGGTTTTGGAGGTTGGTGATGTGCTCATGGAGTTCGATGGCGTCAAGATAGCCTGTGATGGAACTGTGCCCTTCAGGACATCGGAGAGGATAATGTTCACATTCCTTGTGGCAAACAAGTTTGTAGGGAACATGGCAGACCTTCTAGTGTTGCGTGATGGGACCCCCACAAGGCTACAATTCGAGTAAGGAATATGATCTCCAAGGCAAATGCTGTTCTGACTTATCTGCAAAGCTGCTTGTCATATTTGTGGCGATTCCATGTTGGTTTGATTCTGCAGTCCCACAATACTGACCACAATGCTTGCTGGTCATCTGATAGGATATACATCCGTATGTGGCCCAGGATTGTAGTGATGCCTTTGCGGGTTGAACTGGACAACAGTGATTGGGAATATCTGGACATGCTCTTTGGCCCATGCTGTATGCTATATGATCTGGGATCTGTGTCTCCAGCTGTTTGAATTGAGCCAGCCCAACAGGACAGCCTTGTGATGTGTAGGTAGGATAAACTCCGATTGACGATAGGGCAAAAACAACTAAACATTGACAACAAACAACCCATCAGCATGTAGTGCATGACAATGTCACTGTATGTAGCTTTTGAAGTCGGAAAGCAAACACTTTGCAGATATAATATCATTGTGCCAGGTCTTGCTGCGCTTCCTCAATCAGCACAAGTGCAGCCAGGAACACTAGAGTCAGAAGGAACTGGCCCCAGCATATCTGGTGCATTGTACTGAGGCTTGTCTATGTGGATCTCTGATGGCACTGACTGCATATCTGCTCACGGTTGCTTGTAATGTGTATGTTAGGTTGGGCAGACCACAGGCTCTGGTCCCCTCCCATCTGAACGGTAAAAATCCATCCTACTTCGTTGTGGCAGGGTGTGTTTTCACATCCCTGAGCGAACCATACTTGGCCAACGAATTTGGGATGGACTATGCAACAGAATCGCCAGTCAAGCTGCTTGAAAAGGTGTATTTTGGGATTCCCAAAAAGAAAGGACATCAAGTGGTGTTGCTGTCGCAAGTGCTGGCAAATGAGGCAACAGTGGGATATGAAGACATGGAGAATGTACCAGTAAGTGTGCTTGGTCCATGCAAGGAATGCCAAACTGTTGGAGCAAGCCTTTTGCCAACACGCCTGTCTTGTCGCTGTCGCGAAACCACCGAGAATGTACCAAAGCTGTGAGGGAGTCGGCTGATACCCTTCACATTCGCCCCGTGTCCCTGCTCGATGGACTCCCGTGTGTTTGCCTTGTTCTGAACGATGCGGATTCATCAGCAGTCGTTAGCCCTTGAAAGTTAATCCTCCACTGCAGACAGTTGGACCGTGGTCACCCTGCACTGCAGGTCGTCGCGTTCAACGGCACTCCTGTGGAGAACCTGTGCCACCTCTCGGAAATGGTGGTGAACTGCAAGGAGAAGTACATGACCTTTGACCTGGAGTACCACCAGGTTATCGTCCTTGCAACAGAGGCTGCCAAGGCTGCAACGGATGTGGTCCTGGAGGAGTACAGCATACCCAACATGGCTTCTCCAGACGTCAGGGAGCATCTGGAGAAAGAGAAAGCAGGGTCAGGAAAGAGAAAACTCAGTGAGAGGCCCTCAGGGGCCATTCGATTGTGATTTGTACAGAGCGGGCCTCATGGGCAGTGGCTGTGGCATGGTGTTCATGACGCTCATTATAAGACTCACCTGCGGTGCATGACATCCATGATACCTGCTCAGGAACAGAAACAGTGTTGTGTGCAGAATTGAGTCAGAAATGCAGTGTTCAAGAGCAGCTGGCACAGCTCCCATGTCTAGTGGGCAGGATTTCTGCTGCCCAGGCAGGAACAGCAACAGCGCCATGTGCAGGTCTGCAGAATTGCCCTGTTACGACCTCATCAACACGCTGTTCTGGCCCTTTTGCTCACATAGTAGGCACAGCGTAGATGTGAACCTGTAGGCAAGAATTCAGTGTGCTTCAAAGTGGTGCAACAGGTGTAGTGGTAATGATCGGACAGGTCATCTCTGTTGAGCTTCTGTGGTTTGGATGTTTCTTGATAGTGGCGTGCTCAATGGCAAGTGAGAGGCACCAGACGTTGGCTCCGTTGGCGTGTTTGTTTGTAGAACTGTTTTTTTAGAGTTAAGGGGATTCTTTCAGGATGTAAAGTACAGGATGCATCATGCAACTTGCTGATGTAGGGGTCCAACTCCTACTGAGAGCCTCAGCATGACGTGTATCTGCGTTGATTGCACTTACTCAAATCTGACAGCAATTGCAGCATGGCTGGCGTGAAGTCATATGCCTGTGACGCCATTACTTCTGAAGGTTGCACGAATGTGCTTGTAATACTCTGTGGCCCACCGCACTAAGCTTTGCTGTTGTCAAGATGCGCTCTAGAACCTTGCGAACTGCTGCATGGTGGCGCAACTCCTCAACGGTTGTCTTATTTTACGAATTGGAAAATACTTAGTAAGACTGGAGGCGTTCACGTGCACAGGAATGGCTGCTGCGACCTTGGTATCGCCGGAATGCTGCTGGAAGTTCACGAATGCACCTTCGTGACCTGCCCCACCGGGTTGTGCACCACGAGAGGAAACCCCAGCGCCGCGCGTTGTGTGCACACATCCTCTGGCGTTGCCTTGGGGTTGACCCAACCCCCCAAACCGGCCAGCGCAAGTCACCCAACAGCCGGGAAAATCGACAATATATTAGTCCGTCTGTCTTTTCTATGAAGATCCCTTGTTCTTCCGCTGGCAAGGCCCACGCCGGTCAGTGGACCAGTGGTTTGAGCTTTAGAGCATCTTTATCGGTCGGCGCTATTGTTCCGGCGGAGCTATTCGGCTATCCGAATAGCTCCGCACGTCAAAAAACCATCATTAACGGTTGGGGAGCAATAACTCCCCAATAGCTCCCCCGGAGCTATTCGGCGCCCAGCGGAGCTATTCGGGGCCAGAATAGCTCCGCTCGAGACCGAATAGCTCCCCAGAATAGCACCGGTGCTATTCGCGCAACACTTGGCGGCGGCTGCTTGGAACAACGCGGAGGGGCCTTAGTACAGCGGAGGGGCCTTGGGACAGCCGAACCATGCAAATAGCACCCCCCGTTACGGATGCCCACGAGGTGGTATTGCTCCCCAAGGCATCCACCGTTACGGATGCACGCCCGGTGCTATTGCTCCCCAATAGCACCGGTGCTATTTGGCACATGCCACCTTAGTAAGGTGGCACGGCAGCCAATGAGAACCGTTCCTGAATAGCTCCGCCGGAACAATAGCACCCACCGATAAAGATGCTCTAAGAGGGTGTCCGAAACAAGAAGGGATCTTCACGGAAAAGACAGAGCGACCAATAGGGTGCAGGAAAGATCCCACTCCAAACCCGGGGAATTTGCAGGAATCACCTCCCGCGGTCGCTACCCTCCGGGCAACCCCGATTGCGGACGCCAGCAAACTGCAGGGGGCCCAGCGCGCGCACCCCACCGCGCCAGGTCGTTCTCCGCTAAGCAGATGCCCTCGCTGCATTCCGCGCAGCAAGGCGCCCGGGAACCGCACACCGCCAGCCCCTTCGCCTGCTCCAGCCCCAAGGCCCCACCCGCCCGCCGCTCCCCTTCCCATCGCATCAAGCACCGCCGCCCCCAGCGCGGTCGACCATCGGGCACCGCGATCGCCGCCAGCCGGGCGGGAGTGGGTGAAGCGGAGGGGCGCGCCATGGAGGTGGCGCACGTGGGGCAGAACGGCGTGTCGCCGCCGGCCAAAAGGTGCGTGCTGTTCTACTGCCCGGACACGGAGGCGCTGGCGCGGAGGGTGGCGGACGCCAGCGAGAACGTGGACCTGGGGGAGATACGCTGGAGGTGGGTTGGTGGGGGGATGCGATTTGTTACAAAAGAGAGAAGAAACAGGTCACACGCTGCTAAGCAAGTGTATGCGGGACTCTTTTCCATGCAGTGAAAGATTGTGCAGAGCCAGAGAGGGGGGGTGGAGGGGGAGGGGGAGGTTGGCGGCGCAGGTTAGGCAACTGATAGAGATGGCAGCGATCGGGAATGGAGTCTGTGCGCAGCGTGCGTGCACGAGGCCACGCGTCGGGTTGCTGATGAACGCTAGCATCTGCGGGAGTGCGAGGTGGGGCTTTTTCTCCGGCGCGCCCGAGGGGCCGGCGATTGCGCTGCGCTCGGACTGCCCCCGCGCGTCTCTGAGGCGCCCGTCCCCTGGTTCCGCCCCCCCCCTGCGCAGGAAGTACAAGGACGGCTTCCCGGACCTGTTCGTCAAAGACGCGCTGAAGATCAGGAACCGGCACGTGGCGTTCCTGGCCTCCTTCCACAACCCCTCGGTCATATTCGAGCAGATATCCGTGGTGTACGCGCTCCCCAGGCTCTTTGTTGGGTCCTTCACGCTGGTGCTCCCGTTCTTTCCCACGGGGACATCGGAGCGGGTGAGTGGCCGGGCGCAGCGGCGTCCGTCTGGCCGAAGTTGCGTGACGTAAAGCCGCGGCCGTGGCAATCTGGGGCTCCAGCAAGCCGAGGCCGCAGACTATTCTCCCTTGAGCGTAGGTGGGGGCAGCTTGGTCATGGGCTCCGGGTGTTCTCCCAGCAGTCTGCGCCAACCTTTGTTGTTAAGTTCTCAGTTCCGCGCATTTCGAGACACTGTGGTCCAGCCCCCTGTTCGAACCCTGTGGTGGCCCTGGGGGAGGGCTGTGGCTGTCTTTCCAACAGGCAGGGAACATTTTACGTTCTCCAGAGCCTCGTTGTGACCAAGCACTCATTTGGCCAGACTTTCTCAGCACTGTAGGCGATGGTGCAGAATTCTCCATGTGCAACTGGAAAAGCAGTGGGTGCCCTTCACCGTTGCTGTCAAGATTGTCTCCCAGATGGACCCCTGGGATGTGGCAAGACAGTTTGTAGTTTCGGCTATCTGAGCATATATCCCACGCAGCAGCTGCGAATTGTGTACGCCATATGCTCCAAATTAAGCCCGGGCCCTTGAGAGCGCAGTGAGAGTCAATAATTTGAGGCAATATCCACATAAGTTTTGTCAAATGTCTTGTGAATCGTTGTGCTGGGACCTCTTATTCCATACCTGGCGCTGGCCACCTGCACAAGTGTTTGTTCCTGAGGCTGTGGGACCAGAGCCTCATTGCAAGAGATTTGAAAGACAATTTGGCTTGTGGTGCAAGTGCAACCTGATAATGGCAGTGATATATGGCTGTTGGCCATGCATCCCATGGGTTGCAAAAACAGCAGTTCATCGGTGCAAGCATGGTGCTGAAACGTGTGATTGATCTGGGCACTACACCGCAGGCAAGTTATGTATGTCCGGGCTTGTAAACTTTGCAAACTATTCTTGTGAGCATAGCTTAGATACTGCTGTTACAATTGTTGTGGGTATGGCCATTGTTTAGAAACTATTGTCAAGATCATGCGGCCAGATATGTGTGGAAAGATGCTGTTGAGTATATTGTATTTGACACGGACTGTGCTTTTCAGGTTGAGGCTGAGGGTGATGTTGCAACGGCATTCACGTTGGCAAGGATATTGTCTCAGACACCACCCTCTAGAGGGGGTCCCACCAGCCTAGTTATATTTGACATTCATGCCTTGCAGGTAGGTCTGGACCATTGCAGCAATTGTGCCTATCATGTTGAGAATTGCTGCATAAACCTTTTGCCCTCTGGTACATTTGTGGGATCTGTTGCTCAGTAGGAATTTTCGTCACTATGCATATTTCCTCGAGTGCTGTTCTTCACAAGAAGATGATGGTGGCTTAGACTGAATATCATGGATGATAGGAGCACACGAATTGTCGTTTAGTCATTGTGACTTTGAGCAGAAGTAAGGTTGAGAGGCCTGGGGAAACGTTATTTAGTCGCTGCCTTCCGACGTCAGCATGGAGGTCCCGGACCAGGGCCTCCCCGCGCCGGGCCGGCCCCCCTCACCCCCAGCGAGGGGCGAGCCGCGCCCCCCGTGCGCCCCGCCTGCCAAAACCGCCAAGTCGTGGGAAGTGGCACTGGCGCCTCCCCTCCGCAGTTCCCCAGTTCCCCAGTTCCGCACCTCGACACCCATGACCGTGGTCGCGACTGGCCCGGTGGGCGCCATTGGCGTTGCAAGTCGCTGCCTGTGGTGTTTAGCCTCCAGGCGCACCATTCACGACTTCAAGCACAGGGCCCCGGCAAGGAGCGCGGGCACTGGAGCACAGCACGCGGCACTGCCGCAGCCCTTTCCAGAACTCGCGGACGGACGGATGGACGGACCACGAACCACTTTATGGGGCTGCAATCCGTCCAGACGCTACCGTCTGGGGGTTCGTGGACGACCATTCTGTTCACGGAATTTCGCGATCTGTTGTGAATCTGTTCGGAATATCGCCCTTGGCGTTCGGCCCCTGTGGGCGCCGACTAGTGCCACTCGCGGGTGCCAATCGGGGCACCCACGGGTGGCACCAGTCGGTGGCCACGAGGGTCAAGAATGGTGGGAGTGGGAGTGGGAGGCAACTATCGACCTCCCACCCCCACCGTTTTATGGCATGTTTTGTGGCCACGCTTTGGGCCCCGCGGAGGCCACAGTCCACCCTTGGCGTTCGGCCCCTGTGGGCGCCGAGTGGTGCCACTCGCGGGTGCCAATCGGGGCACCTGCGGGTGGCACCAAT